AATCTGGCTAATATGGTGGATGTGGGAGCAATTCAAAATCCATTTCATTCAATTTTGCCATCGTTATCACTGATTTGTGACACTGTGCATAGCATCACATCTCCTTTTTCTTCAAATGGGGTCGTTTTTCCGCAATTTCGGTCTTCAAACGCTCCAATAACGCTACATAATATTCACATCCCAAAATAGCGAGGTCACAACCTTTCCAGCCGATTATTGTGCTTTCTGGTGCTTTGGAAGAGGTTCACCAGTTGTTCTCCACTCAGATGACGATCGTATTGATTCCAGAGTGAAGTGATGGATCCATGTTTCATACAGTGTCACATATCGACCCGAAAATTCCGGTTTGTTACCTTTAAACATGGCCAAACATTGCTCAGAATCATCAAGACGTTCTTTTTTTTGGTCAACAGTGAGCTCGCGCGGCATCCACTTTGAACAGAGCTTTCTCATAGTCCAATGCTCATGCAATATAAAGCCAATACGTTTTTTCATACCTTTACAATATCAGCAACTCACGCAACTTCACTTTCCGATCATTCAAACGATTTTGTGGATTTTTTTATGTTTTCTGATGTTACTGCCTCATTTGAACTGCGTTCTACATCATTGGTGTCTTTACAACCACGTTTGAAGTCAGCAAACCAACGTTAAATTGTTGACTCTGATGGAGCGGAGTCCTTATAATACTTTTGAAGCCATTGCTTCGCTTGACCAGTATTTTTTCCCATCGTGAAGCAGTGTAAAATCAAAACATAAGCAATTCAAAATCCATTTCATTCAATTTTGCCATTATTTTTCTTCAAATGGGGTCGTTTTTCCGCGATTTCGGCCTTCAAACGCTCCAATAACGCTACATAATATTCATATCCGAAAATAGCGAAGTCACAACCTTTCCAGCCGATTGTTGTGCTTTCTGGTGCTTTGGACGAGGTTTACCAGTTGTTCTCCACTCAGATGACGATAGTATTGGTACCGGAGTGAAGTGATGGATCCATGTTTCATACAGTGTCACATATCGACCCAAAAATTCCGGTTTGTTATCTTTAAACATGGCCAAACATTGCTCAGAATCATCAAGACGTTCTTTTTTTGGTCAACAGTGAGCTCGCGCGGCACTTTGAACAGAGCTTTCTCATAGTCCAATGCTCATGCAATATAAAGCCAATACGTTTTTTCATACCTTTACAATATCAGCAACTCACGCAACTTCACTTTCCGATCATTCAAACGATTTTGTGGATTTTTTTTTATGTTTTCTGATGTTACTACCTCATTTGAACTGAGTTCTACATCATTGGTGTCTTTACAACCACGTTTGAAGTCAGCAAACCAACGTTAAATTGTTGACTCTGATGGAGCGGAGTCCTTATAATACTTTTGAAGCCATTGCTTCGCTTGACCAGTATTTTTTACCATCGTGAAGCAGTGTAAAATCAAAACACGAAATTGTTTTTGATCCATCGTTTTGAAAATAACAAAAGTAGTGTCACTCTCAGCCCGATAACTCACAAACTTATGAGTTGTATATCGTAAAATTTCAAAAGCTTTCTTCTGAAGGTTAGTACTAACTGAAAAAGCGGTGAATGCAATTAAGTTTCTCCGTATAGATAATAATAAAATAATTCAATCATCCGAAAACTATACGAGTGTATAACATAATAACGCCCTACGAATGTGAAAGTAATAGGTAAATATTCAACAGAACTCCATTTCGAATTATAATACAAAGTTTCGAGATGATCGTAATCGAATTGAAGGTATAAGATTGTCCAAGTGTCAATTCATATTTTTCGACGTTATGCAAATTTGGAAAATTTCAAAGAGATGTTCCAGGAAGCCCAATTACTAATATGGTTTCCCTTTATTGTACTGGGAAGTGGCTATTTCATTATGTACCCTTTCCAGTCGCACCCCTTTACGGAATTGTGAGGTGCAGCTCGTTATCTTGAAAGTACACTCCTATATATGCTGTTCGCCCTTTGATCTAGCGAGAGTTCATGAATATTGAGTAGTGCAACAGTGTTGTTCATATCGAATATGAAAGTGGCAAATAACTTCAATAGGAGTATCTTTGAAGTATAAATATCAGTATATTCTACTACCCGGGTTTTATAGCCAAGTTTATGACAAGGAATATAATACGAAAAAGGGAGAATTTTACATTGTGTGTGTTGTACATTATTTATGCTCAAGATTATTCAATTTCCTATCAATAAGTTCTTGTTTGAACATTACATTGTTGCTTTCTGGTATGTGAATATTCAAGGGTTATATTAGGTTATTTCAGAAGTTTTATCCGTTCAACTATCATATGTTTTTGTAGCTCCATATCTCAATAAATATTAATTATATTGGGTATTGGTACATACTGATCGATAGGGAATTTTGTACTCTATACATTAATGCTCTTCATTTTTTTTAATTTTTTGACTCTTCAGCTTATTACTCTACGAATTAAAATCACACCAAAGTGTTACCGAAAGAGACCAAGCATTTGAAAATAATAGCACTGTTCGACGTTGGTTTGCAAAACTTCGTTCCGGAGGTTTTAGCCTCATAGATGATTCCCGGAGTGGTCGACCTACAGTAATCCAGGACGAGGATTTGAGAACCCTGGTGGAGACTGACCCATCACAAACGGTGCCCCACGATTACAACGATCCACAGAATTTGTCACGTTCCATTCTTCTTTGCTTTTGCGCAACGGTCCTTTTTTTGTTAGTTCGGACTTTATTATGAAATAAAATGATTTAAATCCCTGAACAGAACAATATAAAACGTCTAAGAGTGGCAATTCCTCGTGGACTCCCTTCTCCATTGTGAAAGTGATGGAAGGTCTCACGCTGTTGATGTGCTTCAGGAAGGTGTCTAGTTCTGTATTCCCATGGTTCTATACTATGAAGGTGTTGTCAAAGTATCTCAACCAGACTCGGGACTTCTTGTGGACTTCTTCAATGGCCAGAGTTTCAAACTACTCCATATATATGTTGGCTATAACTGGTGAAAGTGGCAATCACATTGGCAGTTGTCATCTTGCGTAAAGGATTAGTCCTTCAGTTGGAAATGCAGTTTCGTAAATAGCGTCCTAGTAATCCCATTAATACTTCTATAGGTGAGTTAGTTCTTCCCCATCTTCGAATAACTCATTATGAAGTATTTGAAGTGCTCCTTCGACAGGAACGTTGGTGTAAAGGCTTTCCACGTCGAAACTGATTAATTGATCTTGATCTATGATTGCCCCTGGTAGTTCGATAAAATGACTTGAATTCTTCACAACAGATGATGTTTTTACTTGTAATGGTTGTATTATTGGATGTAAAAATCTGGACAAGTTTGGAGTAGCTTAATCTCTGGAGCTAATGATCGATCTGAAAGGAACACCCTTCTTGTGGATTTTGGGCAGTCCATACAAGTTAGGGGGCTTACTGTTGTGCGGTGTTAGCGGTGATCTTTCAGTTTCTGAAAAATGGACGATCTTCGTGTATTGTCCTTTCTGAAGAACCTCTTCGATCTTCTGTTCGTAGAGATTAGTATCCATCACCACAATAGAGTTATCCTTATCTACAGCTAGGAGCTTGATGGTGTTATCTCTACGTAGGCCATTCAGAGTTCTACGTTCTTCATTGATGATATTGGATATTGGAACTGGTTCTCGATCCAGCTATTCAATGATTTTTCATTTAAATTATTCTGCCTCGGTCTAATCGATAAGGGAACTGGTGGATTCCACTGCAGTAATTATCTCCAAAGTGTGAACAGATCCTTGGCAAAGATTGGTCCATAATCCTACAAGGTCTCGTTCTCAATTCTTCAAATCGTTTTGTGGCATCCTACATCAAAGTTGACCTCTTTCAACGGTGGTCAATAATTTGAGACCTTATCAGTGCTCGGCAGGCGTATTCCAATATGCCTTTGGCTCTCTCTCTTGGGCCTGGCGATTTCAGCAGAAAACCTTTGGGGATGATGTTGTCTCTTGCTGTGCACAAAAACTAAGGTGAGTTTTTTCCTTGGTAAGCTTAATCACAGTCTTCTCATATCCTCGGAATAAGTCGCTGGTTCCGGGTCCGTACCGGGTGTTCAACGTTCTATTGTAATTCAAATCATTTGGAATATAATTCGACAGTGGAAGTCCGAACTAATGAAATTCACCATGAAACATTGTCAACCACCTTCAAACGGACCGTTTTTGGATCGGTTCGTCAGGTGTGATGAAAAGTGGATCCTCTACGATAACAGCAGACTTTTAGGACAGTGCAGTGGTTGGACACCGATGATCCACCCGAAGGCACTACCCAAAGGCGGAAACAAAAAAAAAGAATACGGTATTGATGGTGGTCAGCGGCTTGTGTGATTCACTACTAACTTTCCGAAACCGGACCATACCAGCACAGCAACAACCGGCACTGGTCAACAGAAGAGGTCCGATCCTGTTCCACTAAACGTCCGTTCGTACCGTCCTAAATTTAAACGAATTGAGCGTCGACGTTCTGCCCTACTCATCATACTCCCAGACCTCTCGCCAACCGACTACCATCATTTCAAGTACTTCGATAACTTACTTACCGGTAGAGTTGTTTTTGTCCTCTCATTGAAGTCGAAGTGAAATTCTGTGAAATTGCATTTGAAGAAAAATAAAGTGCTGTTCCATCAAGACAATGCACTGTGTCACAAACAGCAATGAAAATGATGGCAAAAGTGCATGAATTGGGCTTCAAAGTGCTTCCGCATCCACCGTGTTCTCCAGATCGGGCCTGATATAGAATAATAAACTCAAATTTTATCAAAAAAATAATTTTTTTTATGTTAGCCTACGAACTTTTCAGCCCAACTGTGCCCTCCATGTTTCGTTTTCTTATCGAAAGTATTCCAGAAAACCCATTTTTTTCTCGGGCTTCCTCCCTTCCGGTGATCACCCTAGATCCACCACTGGCGACACTAGACTTTTCTTGGTCTACTATCCACTTTGCACGAATGTTCAAATATTGTTTTTGTTTCAGAGCTTGGGTATACTAGGCTCAATCCCAGCAGCCTGGCTCATACTGACTCTCCTAGTTTTACTCATCTACCTCCTGACGCGATGCTGCGACCGAAAACCGCGACCTTCCCGCTCGATTTCGGCTCTGAAAGTTACCTTAGCTGTAGTTTCCGTACTCTGCTGCGCGGCAGTCGGAATAGGACTTTATGGAAACGACGACTTGCACAACGGCGTCGTGCAAACCTTGAACGAAGGCAAGCAGGTGGCGCTGCTTGTGTCGAAAATCAGGAACCAGACCGAAGATATAGAGAGGCAGCTCCGGATCCAGGCCGAGAGACAAATAAGAGACATTTATAATATAATACAGATGCCTGTTAACAATCAGACGTTATTCAACCAAGTGGAAGGATACTTTAAAAAACTAGTGGGTAAGTGGTTTTTGGAATAGTATTCTACAAACATTTTCGTAATAGATGATGCGTGTTACTGTTTAGACCTTCCAAGAGTAATTCGAATTTGCTCCATGTGGTTGGCAATTCTATGATATTGATTAGAGAGCAACAATCAAATTTAACACAACCTGTCCAAAATGCTGAAACTTATTTCGTATCAAATATATTGATTTCTCTAGATTAAGTGGCTTCATGTAATAATTGAAACGTATGCCTCAGCCTCATTCTGATATAATATCAGTTGTGATACAGGACTAAGCTCTTAAAGTTGGCCAACGACATCGACTGCCGAATGAAATTCATCCGCAGTCTTTCTCTGCAGCTTTCTCTGCCACACATTCAATTGAAATCAGAACCCAAAAACACCAACACCATTTGTCATTTGAATGCAATTACATAAGTCATACAATTGTAGAAATGGCATGCTGCTTTAGACATTACAAAACAGGCAATAATTGCCTAGCGTGAGTCATTTTAAAACTCGCCTTCAAAAGCCCTGTATAAATTTTAGATATGTTAGTAAACTTCAGAATAGTGTTAATGATGACCAATGTATTCTTTTTTTTTGCGATATTATATATCTTCAAAAGTATTCGAAATTTTTTGAATACATTATAATTGGAAATACTAGTTAAAACAAAAAGCGGATTATTTCCAACAGGGGTACCCAGTTACAGGAAATGCTATTATTACAGAGTATATATGAAATAAATATTAAAAATAATGGAATATAGAAGTGTATAAAAGTAAATGCTAAAACAAAGTATATATAAAATATTCGTATACGTAGAATTTCAAGAAAGGATTGACAAATTGAGTATATAACACAAAAAGTTACAAATTATGCAATGTAGCAGTACTGACACAAATGTTATTTATAGTATTATTAAAAGTGATTGTGGATACATGATACCAAGGCGTTTAGAGAGTCGAAATGAATATAGCAATGTTCACAGATTTTATTGAAGCTACTGCTCATAAAATTCAATGGAGATCCTATCATAACATGTGTGCGTGATGATTCACAATAGAATTTCAGATTGTGTCGACCTTCACTTCTTGGTACTAAGAAATTGATCTCGGGTAAAAGAACCGTACTGTCAATATTGTTGTTTAGTAATTTATGCAGGAATTTTGTACCAAGGATAACTCTCTCATTTTCCAAAGATGTCATATCAAATCGTGTCAACAAAATGTTATGATCGATGCCTCTCGTGAGGTATTGTCCATCAACTTTTAGACATAAGTATTTTAGGAACTTCCTTTGCACGCTGTCAATTGTTGTTTTTTGGTAGTCGTAAACTGAATTCCATAACACAGAGCCATACTCTAACTTAGATCTGGCATACGCAAAATATAGCAATTTTAAGGTGGCAATACTTTTGCCCTTTGCCATTTCTGTAAATAGTGTAAATAAATCCAAGCATCCTATTTGCATCAACAGTCATATTACTTATATGTTTTATAAATGTTAATTTACTGTCGTATGTTGCACCAAGATCTTTTATCTCATGTACGCGGTTGATTGTAGTATCGTACATTAAAGTTCCCTTTTTTGTTATAAATTATATTATTTTACATTTGGATACGTTCAGTTGTAGACGATTATTATTACACCAAAGTTTGATTACATCTAATTCATGTTGTACACGTTGGCAGTCAGTAATGCCGTCGATTTTATAATATAATTTCAGGACGTCTGCAAATAGTAGGCTAAGAATATTCAAAGAGGTTGCCAAGTCATTAATAAAAATAAAGTAGGTCCAAGATTAGAACCTTGTTATACCCCAGAGTAGTGCAGTATGTTCCGAAACAAGTACTTTTACTTTACCCTGATTATTTTCCAGTTTATATTTCGGACTTTGTCGACCGAATTCGGAGACAGGGTGTTGTACAAAGCTGACTACAATATTCCAAGATCACATTAAAAATATTCTTAAACACGTACCTGGCATAGAAATACAGATACATTGAAGTGCATACATGTGCACAAACTATTGTTGTATACCAACTTGTAGAATTGTTTTCAAGTTGATAGGTATGATTGTCAAGGACTATATGTTTTTACAACTGATATATTCTGGTTCAAACTCTAGTATATTGAAGGCGAATAGTGAGTAGTTGCATCCAAAACCCTAAAATGTAACTCGCCTTGACCTTCTGTGTGGTTAAAATTGTTTTCAATTATCATCTTACTTTGAAGAGCAGTTAGTTGTTGGTTCACAGATGGATGAAAAACACATTTACCTCTGGTGCAGTTGTTTTCAGTTGCAGACCCAGGAAAGAGATATCAACCTGCCTAGGGTCCTATGCGACTGTATTTCAAACGAAAATGTATGCTATTGAGTTGTGTGCGGATATATTGGTAGAATCCAACCTCACACACAAGTCAATAAAAAATTATCGGATAGTCAAGCAGCTTTGGAAGCTCTTGGCTCCTACCGAGCAACGTCTAAATTGGTAGCAAATTGCCAAAAACGACTCTCCTCAATAGGAAACTTAACAAATTGTATCTGGTCTGGATTTCTCGCCACACTGGGCTGGAAAGTAATGATACTGCTGACTCCCTTGCAAAGCTTGCAAAGGAGGGTACTGCAAGTGGCTTCATCGGACCAGAACCTGTGATTGGCATCACTTTAGGTTTTGCCAAACATACATTGAACACCTGGAAGGCAAGAAGATTTGAAGACTTCTCGCAAAATCTTCCAGGATTGGCTCACTCCAAGGCGTGCACTTACCCTTCGAAGCTTGAAACCAAACAGTTGGGATGTCTACGATATTTAACTAACAGGCCTCCTCACAGATCACTGTCGTCTGAATCATCATATGCAGAGACTCGGACCGTCGGAAGACAGTGTGTGTTGCCTCTGGTTGGAAGATGATTAAACAGCAGAGCATATACTTTGTGCCTGCCCCGCTGCGGACCGAATCAGGTTTTTAGAGTTCGGCAGAGCCGTACTCTTACCATCTGACCTGAAAGACCACTCACCATACAAACTAATCGGCTACGTTAGGAAGTCGAACCCTTGCAGGTTGCGGTCCAATAGACCCACTCACTTTGGACCCAACCTAACCTAACTACATTTCATACGTATGGAAAGGAGTTTTTCTCAGTGAGTTGAAGAGATAAATTATCAAGTTCAAATTATATTCGTAGTAACTGTTGAGTTCAAATACATATTTTCTTTCGAAGTACATTATGTACCTAATGATGTACGATGAATAAAAGTTTGTTTTTTCCGCAGATAATCGAAACCTGACGGCAAATTACGCAAAAGACATTCGCCAACCTCTGGTCGGCCTGAACTTAACATCAACGATCGTTTTTGGCGAGAAAATCGAATCAGTACGATGGCCCTTTACCATGGCGGTCCTCAGCATTCTCCTCATTCTGTGTGTGATCCTTCTCGTTGGCGTTGCCCGTCACAATCGTTGTGCCCTGATAGCTTTCTCAGTTTGCGGACTTTTAGCAGTCATAGCCTCCTTCCTGATGGCCAGCGTATATTTAGCTTCGGGCGTCGCGTTGGGCGATTTGTGCATGGCACCTGACAAATTCGTCGAAGATCAAGCCAGCTCGGATCTGTCCAAAGAGATACTGAAGTACTACACGAACTGCGAAAGAGCTAGAGCGAATCCGTTCACACAGAGATTGAGAGAGGCCAAGACTACTGTGGATAATATGCGCGTCAACTTGGGTAACATGATCAAACCGGCTGAGTACTTGTACCCGAAGAAGGGTTTGGAAACGAAGTTCAGCTCATTGAGAAACGATATTAATGCTGCCGAAAAGTTTATCAATTCACTGACGGCCCTGGTGGACTGTAGGACGCTGCACATGCACTATTTGAGGGGCGCGAGGGCCCTTTGTAATGTTGGCTTGCTTGGACTGACTTTGATGCTAGTGTCTGCTGTGCTGGCTGGATTGCTGCTGACGGCTCTTGTTTGGGTCGATTCACATACATGGATTTATATAAGGAAAAAGTGAGTATCCGATTTCATTCATGGAATTGTCCATAGAATATAGAAAACATTTGAAAATGTTATAACACCAAAATACTAGGCACTAAATTCTCAGAAATGACTGACGTTTTTGTCTTAATTTGTCTCTTGCAGTGGCGTACAGAAATTATACTAATTATACTGATATAATTACCTATATGATATATGATACAATATATAGAATCACGACCTGACAGCAATGTTTTCGTTTTAATTTAATTACATTTCTGAGAATTTACTGCCTGCTATTGTGGAATTTCACTATACAAAGAATTCATTATTACCTAATGGTAAGGATATCAGGCATCGATTTTGGTGGGTTTTATGGAGGAAATATAATTTAGAGTTTGGTCAAATTTACTTGCATAATCATATTAACTTTGTCTTCCATTGTCTAATATGATATAACATGATTTGAAATCTCTGAAAGAACAAATAAAACAAAAATTAAAATGAATAGCTAAAAATCACAATTATATCAAGCAATGAAATGTAAAATGAAATTACAATAAAATTAAAATAAGCAAAAAAATTAAAAATTGAACAATTAAAAATGATTTTAAACCAAGTTACTTCACGGCGTTTCGATTGTTAGTATCCACAATCGTCTTCGGGATATAACTAGACTATTCCTATGAGAGATGATTATTTATAGGTCATTCGAAAGCTTTCACCTATCCCCTTTCACATCTCTCCGCTTCACCGGTTTTGCGGGAGTTGACCGTTTTTCGCCTGATTAAAGGGTACCAAATGTTGCATATCTCTACGCTAGCTTGGCTGAATGCGTCGTTGGAGAAGATATAGGCAGCTTCTTTGAACTTCCTTTTAAACCAGTATTTCTCCCTGTGGATGATCTCAGCTTGAGACCACTTGATGTTATGATGAATAGATCTGCTATTATCGATGCGTTGGTTTCTACTCGCTGTGTTTCTTTTGTGTTTGGCAATGCGGACTTTCAATGGCCTTTCAGTTTCACTGATATGTGATTTGCCGCACTCACATGGTATCCGGTAAATGCAATTCTTGGAATCGCAGTCCGCGTTTGGTGGCTTGGTTTTCGTGATGCTGCTACGGATGGTGTTTTCGGATCTGAAGCTAATTCTGACGTTGTACTTAGACACAATTCTTCTTATCCTTTCCGACAGTCCTCCGACGTAGGCAAGTGCAAGCACTGGTTGTGGCGGCTTCTCTTTCTTATGACGCTCTTGCTGTCTTCTAGACAAAATCTGTTTCACCATTTCTTTGGAGTAACCATTCCGTTGAAGATCTTTTTTGATGATTCCTAGTTCCTTCTCGAGCCCGCATTACAGAGCCCGAAAGGCACGATTTCCTAGAGTCTAGATGATCCCTCTTTTGGTAGATTGATGATGTTTGGATTCGTGATTCAGGTACTGTCCCTTGTGAGTGGGTTTTCGTTATACAGATGTTTCCCACTTAGTGTTCGTCCTCTTCACCAAAATGTTCAATAATGGCAATTCGTTGTGGATTTACTTCTCCATTTTGAAGGTGAAGGTTTTACGATGTTGATGTGCTTCAAAAAGGTAGTTCTGTATTACTTTCGAACAAACGATATAAATGATTTACCAAATAGAAGTTGAACCACTCTCTTGGTTTGATATGATGTTTAAGAAAACAAGTCTCTATTTGTAGTCTCAGAATATACTATTATGTGCGTGTACAGTCATCGATTTCATATTTTACACTTACAACAGTATACTCACAAAAATTAATCAATACTAAAACAAGAATTTTGAAATATATCCTAAACCTGCTTGCAAGGAATTCTTTGCCAAATTTGACATATACAAAAATTGTAATCTTGCTGTTGTAACACGAATATTATCAAAGTTCTCCTTAACTTCATTTACTTTTCAACCATAACTGTAACTGTAATTAGTGTATTTTATTTGTGATTCAAATCATTGTTGAAATAAAGTACCAAATTTTTCTCCTGATAAATAGAACTGAAAATGGACCATTTGAAAATTTGGCTTTTGCTGTATACATTGTTCATTTTCCAATGAAAATATTATTATTATCATTGTATATTAATTTTACTTTCAGGAAAGATTATCATCAAGTGAACGAGACCGATCCATACCTACCCCCGCCTCAGGCCAGCCAAGCAATAGCAGCAAGGACTCTTCAACGTAGCCAAGGGTCGTCTTATCCCCCTGATACTCCCCCACCTAGCTATACGTCTGCCTTGACGCATTCTCGAGCAATGCATGCCACCGCTCCACCGCATGAAGCTGATCTGCTACTGTATTAGACTTTTTATTTTTTATCTTTCCTTCTTAGAAGCTGGCATTTCTCATAATATCAGATTCAATTTAATCATAATTATTTTCACATTCAGTGTTGGTATATTCGCAGAGGAGTTACCAAAACTAGGATTCTTCAATGAGTCGCTCATTTGTAAACCAACTGCAGTACTCACTTATTCAAGAAAAGCACCTAAATTTCATTACCATTATAATTAGTTTGCTGGTTCATTTTGGTAGCAAGCTACCCTTTCATTGATAAACTGATCCCTAGAAGTGCTTGGAAACATTTCAAATAAATAGGTTGAAGTGTCTAAAGAGTTCCTTCATCCGTTGAATCCACTTAATTTTGGAAATATGATTAGCAAACAATTGAAGGTGATTTCTAGGGCCATACTTGGATCACCACTCGCCATAGTATGGCTTACTCAAAATTGTTCAACAAATATGGTGCATGAGCTATTGAAATTAGATGCTAAACAGTGGAATAATTTGAATACTGTTAAGTATCTGAAACTTGATGAAATGAAATTATGAATCAAATATTGAAAATTAAAGGCAGTGCTTATTTTGTTTATATATTTATCACATTGACCAAGCTTACATTCACCTTAAAGAAGGATTTTTTACAACTGATGCTATTAAAACCAAAATTAATAGTTGAAAACCAACTTCTTCTATTGTTATCAAACCTCTTGAAAAAGAAACAATGTTATAATACTAAACTTGTGGAAGAAGTTTCGACTTCTGAGGGTTGTCGTTCGTAGGGGTGCGACAGCTGGTTAATGGAAAAACAGGTTTTAAAACAGATTTTTTTCTGTAAGAAGAGTTGTAACAATTTAGTGGTATTACCTATAGTGATGATCAATTGAAATCCCTAATAGAACAAAAAATGGCGTGCTATCTTTTTAAACAGCAACAAATTAAAAATGTCTTATTTTTTAAAGTTTGTCCCGGGTATAATGCTAGTAATACAAGTTTTCTGGAAAAGTTGTTATGCAGCATTGTTGTATTTTTTTGTTATTTCTTGTCCAATTCATTCAGAATTATTTCCCTACATTAAAAAGTGAAAGATATCAGTGATCATTCCCTAACACATATTAATTTTTTAATAAATTGATGGATGTAGCCGTTACTACGTGGTAGGAAATCATAATGAAGAAAAGAGAAATGAAACTTTCTATGTTTTTTACCACTTTTATTTG